CCCACGCTGACCCCTCACTTGCCCATGGCTGATTGCAGGTTCCCCTAAATAGAGGGGTGACAGCCAATCCTCCCCAGGGACAGTGGCAGAGTGTCCCTGGGGATGTGTGGTCTGGCAGCTGTGGTGCTGGGGTGAAGGGGGTCCAGGACTGTGATGGGGAGGGGGTAGGGAGGGTTGAGGGGCAATGAGACACCCCCACCATGAACCTGGAAGGCCTTGAGATGATTGCGGTGCTGGTAGTCTTGGTCCTCTTCATCAAGGTGCTGGAGCAATTTGGCCTCTTCGAGCCTGTGTCCTTGGAAGGTAATGGGTGTGGGTGGTGTTGGTGCCTTTGGGGACATGAGGGGCAAGCGGTGGGTTTCCAGAGCTGCTCCCAAGGATGGTCCAGGGCTGCTGCATCCGTGAGAGAGTCGTAGAACGTGGTGTCTGTCTGTGGCTTCTAGGGGCACAGGATGCAAGGAGCAGAGTGTTCTGCCTGTCCCAGTGGCTTGGGGTGTGGGAAGGGGTCAGGGCTGGCAGACTGTCTGCTGTACAGTGGTGACTTTGATGTGTGTTGGGGCGCTGTGAGCTGGGACTGTGTGTGAGCATGCATGTGGTCACCAGGGTGTTTTCCAGCACCTCTACAGGAGCAAGGTGTTACCTAAGACTGAGGTCACCTCACCCTGCACGTGAGGTGTCAGGCTCAGCATTAGCCTGCAGAGCAGCCAGGTTCGGGCAGGATGGGTATCTGCTGCTTTCCCTGCTCCTGGCTCTCCCCAGGGCCCCCTGTGGACCTTTGGTAGGGTGGGGGGACATGGGGGAGGCTGTCCAGCTGAGGATGGGTTGTGCAAAGTGCTGAGTGTGTACATGGAATGCACTTGGTAGAGTCTGGATCTGCTCAGGGGACTCCATGCGTGATGGGAGGGAGGTCAGGACTGCATGGCTGGGTGTTCCCTGGTTACCCAGGGTGAAGGTTGTGTGAAGGGCCCCCTCAAACCTGCCCAACCCCTGCCCAGGTCTGCACACACCCGTCTGAAGGATGCTGCAGCCTGCTTGGCCCCTTGCATTGAGGCATGCACAGGGTGAGGAGGTGACGGACAGTTTCCTGGTCCGCCATTGCCCTGGGATGCTCTGCCACAGTTCTTCAGTGCTGGCTCTCACACGGGTTGGGTTGGGTGTACTGGTGAATGCTGGCTCCCCTCCACGAACCGGGCACTCCCAGGCAGCACCCTGTAGGTGCACCCACAGGTCAGCTTTGCCTGGGTGTGGGGAAGGAGGGGCAGATGAAAGGAGGGACTCACAGGACAGGAAAGCATAGTGGGTGGAAGTTTTTGTTACTTCTTAACTGCTTGCTTTGTCCCTGTGCTTCAGCAGCAGCACTCCTAGGTGCACTATACCAGGAAGGAAACTGAGGCAGGAGCTGACCTAACCAACAGGCATCTTGCCTTGTGAGCCCCCCGGGAGGACACGTTGACTGTGTTCAGGTTGGACACCCCCACCCCAGTTCTGCTGGTGATTTGGGGAGTGCCTCCCTCAGACCCTGCTTTCCCCCTTCCCAGTGCTTTTGCTTCCCTGTGCAGCTGTCTGAAGCTTTGGACCAAAGTTGGTGGGATTGATTGCAGCTGTTCTGCAGCTCCCAGATGTAGTGGTAAGGGGGGAGACAGAGACCTCTCTCAGCCTCTGCTGCAACCTTGCTGAGGGGCTCAAGACAAGGCAGGGGCCACTCCCTGTCCACCTGCAAGTGACTTTTCTACGGTCTGGGCCAGGACAGGAGGTTGGAGATGGGGTATCCTGTCAGCTTTCATCCACTCCAGGGGGGACAGTGGCATGCCTGTCCCCCTCCACTCAAACCCATGCTGGAGAGCTGCAGCTTCCTCTGGCCTGGCTGGAGATGCACCCCAGCTATGCTGGTGGGAATAGGACCCAGGTGCCCTGGATTGCTAGCAATTGCTCCCATTGCCTAAAGGCGCCTGGAGGTGAGGGAAACATGTTGCTTAAGGGGCACAAATTGGCTGAGGTTGAGCTGAGCCCTGGCCACTATATGAGGAGTCCTGTGTGTGAGCAGCAGTGTTTTGGGAGGGGGATGAGATGCTGCTGCATGGGTCCCTCTCGCCTCAGCTTGAGAGGCAGCAGGTAGGAGATTTTGCTCTCTAGGGAAGGTCCCAGGCAGTGTCTGGGGCTAGGAAATGCTGTGTCCCCTCCAGGGGTTGTTTACAAGCCACGGCTCGGTTGACAGTGACAGCCCAGGGACCGCAAAGAGCCTGAAACCGTATGCTAATGGCTCATGTCTGCTAATGGACACAGGGCTCTGCTGCCTGCTGTGGAGCCATCAATGCTGCCTGCCATGCTTCCCCTGCTCTGGCTGCTGGCCCATGCCCCATCCCTGCGGGTCCCCTGCCTGCAGCTCTCTCTCTGTCTAGGTTGTGTCCCATGAATAGATTCTGCTGGGAGGTGTCATGCCACCACAGAGATGGGCTGGGAACAGAGCATCTCTAGAGGGGTCCAGAAAAATGCACAAGCCCTGAGGAAGGGTTCAGTGGGAGCATCTTGCAATCCATCTACCCCTGGGAGAAGTCCAGGCTTGAGAGGTTCCCAATATCAGCTAGATGAGCCCCTGAGCAGCCTGTCCTCGGTTTTGAGCTGGCTCTTCTCTGAGCAAGGGTTTGGACAGAAGCGTTGACTGTCTGCACCCCTTTGCCCTGTCTGCTTGGCGCTGTGCCCCCTTGGGCCTCACCACAGCCTTGGTGGCACAGGCACAGCCACTGTCTAACAGCAGCAGTGGCACATCTCCCATGAGTGTGCTGTGCTCCAGGATCTCTGGGGCGATCAATGCTGGAACTGATGTTGTTTACCAGCTGGATAATCAGTGACAGACCCTACCTCTGCCCTGTGCCACCATGCCCCAACCATCCCCTGGCGGAGCTGTGCAGGGGGCTGGGAGCCCCCTGCCAAGAGCCTGCTTTGGCCGAGCACTCAGGATGGGGCAGGTGGAGAGAAACATTATCGATTTTGACTCCTGAAGTGCAGCATCAATAATTCAGTGCAGAGCAATCAGTCCCGACTGGGAGGAGAGATAGGCGGGAGGGAAAAGGCAGGAGAGCCACTCACGTAGCCCAGCCTCAGATGAATATTAGATGAAGCTGCAGATTGCTGTTGGCAGGATAATTGGTGCCTGCCCAGGGTTGTTCCAGCCTCAGCAGGTCAGGGTCCATGCTGGGGGCAGGCAGGATTGAGGATGTCTTGGAGAGCCCCCAACATGGGGTGTGCTGGCCTCTGCCTTTCCTGGGGGCTTCTGCTGCTGCCTCAGAACTGAGTATACAGAGAGGGAAGCAGGGCTGGGGAAGGTGCTAAACCCTTCCAGAGTCTGGGGAGAAACTGGAGGAAGCAGCAGCCTGCCTGGGTACCACCAGCACCCCAAAGGATGCCAGGCAGGAGAGCGGTGGCAGTGAGCAGTATGGCTACCTCCTGGTGGCTGGCTCAGGGGAGAGGTTCCTCAGGAGAGGGGAGAAAATGAGCATCACCAACATGCTGGCAAGAGCAAAGCCTTGTGCCAAGTCCTGCTTTCCTCCTGCTTTCCAGGAACCCCTTTGGCAGGAGTGATGTGTCTTGGCTGCAGGAGGGACTGGCCCTTTGGGGTGTGATGTTAGGATCCCTGGGCTCAGGGGAACAGTCCAGCCTGGTAGGTTTGACGGACCCCAGAGGTCAAGGTGAGCTGGCTGCAGGGGAGTAATCTTGGAGCATCAAAATCTAGCCTGGAACAGCTGAAGGTGCTCCAGGTTGAAGTTCAGGGTTCTCTGGGCTGGGCTGCACCAGAGGTTACCCTGTGTGCAGTGGATTTAACCCTTGCCTTTCCTTTTCCAAGACACAGCAGGTTTTTCAGCTGTCTGTAGGGCTGGGTAGGGTCTGAACCAGGAGAGAACTGCTGGCTCATGGTGAGGGCTTGCAAAGCAGGAGGGAAAGGGCAAGGATGTAAGGTAGCTGTGACCAGGCCCTGAGCTTGGTTCCTGGCACAGCATTACACTCTGATGCATGCTGTAGCTGGGTCACATCCTGCCAGCACTGGGGTCCTGGAGAAGGAGGTCTCCCCTCTGTGGTGTATCTTCCAGATGCTCTGCACCAAGGGATGTCATACCTGGTCATCCCCATGGACGGAGGTTGGGGTGCACTGTCTTGCCCTGCCTGGAGAGGATGAAGCTGGGGGAGAAGGGGACTTGGTCCTGGGCCCCCTTGGCTGTGAGTGCAGGGGCAGGGCAGCTCTCCCAGCCCTGAGCTCCCTAAGGACCACAGTACTCACAATGCACCCTGTGCCTCTGCTGATGCATGGTGACACATCCTGCCCAGCCCAGCCAGACCTAATTAGCTTGTTGAATCTCTTCACCCTCCGGCCTTGTGTTAATCACTTTTCACATTGCTTCCCTCCCAATTCCCTCTGGCCTGGCTTGTTCTTGCTGTTACTGATGTGCCTGGAGAGGGGACCGTGGTGACCCAGCTGGACACAAAGTAGGACCTGCACTCTGCTGCATCCTGCCCCAGAAACAGGGTCTGAGCCAGTGGCTGGAGTGGCAGGGAGGTCACTCAGCCACAGGGAGGTGAGAAAATCTCAGGCTGGAGAAAAAGCAATAAATCTAGAGAGCAAGGGAGCCTGTTGGGACAGTCCTTTGTAGACCTACTCTGCTGGTGGAGGACAAAACCTCTGAGTCCAATGGGAGAGCCTGGGGCTCTCTAGTTGTGTTGGGCTGCAGGGTGCTGTGGGACCTCAATGGGATCTTCTTCATCTCTCCTCTATTAGGGACAGGATTAACCCCAGGACTGGACACAGGTGGGAATAGATGTGCCCTGGATGAAGCTCTGTGGAGTTGTGGTCCCTGGAGTGCAGGTAGCAGGAGGTCTGATGTGCCACCCATGCTTAGCTGCACATTTCCTCCCAGGGATCCAGGAAAATGTCTCATTCCCCATGAGTGCCTGCCTTGGGGCTTATACTGCTGGGGCAGGTGGTGGCCAGATTAGAAGCAGCTTTTAGACAATAGATACTAAAAGAGACTTTCCAATAACCACTGTTGCCAGGCTGGGGCCTTTGTCCTGCTGCCCACCAGGCAGGGCTTTGGGTGGGCTGTGGGGAACCCCATCCTGGTTGTCTGCCCTGATGTGATGCTCTCCATCTGGGCAGCACCCTGTGGTGCAGGTTTCCCTCCAGCAGTAAGCAAAGTCCCAGGACTGGCAGCACTCAGCTCTGGCTATGACAGACTTGCTGGTGCAAAGAGGTGCAGGTGTTTCCCCCCAGGAGGTGAAGAGATGAGGGTGGTAGGTGTCTGTAGAAGTGATCA